GTTGTTTTTATTTGCTGTGAGCCGCCCAGAGTCCCTAGGGAGTGGGCGGCATACAAATACCGTTAAAGTTTGAAAGTTTGAAAGTTAGATAGCCTCTCCTATCTTCTAAAGAGGGAAATCACCTAAGAGCTGCTGAGTTAGCATTTTAAAAAAATTGGTTAAAAATTATGGCATTTTTATGTCATCACTCTCTGATTTAATTTTGTTCCTGGCACCTGTTAATAACATTATTATAATGGCAAGTAGTCCTAGAAATACAAAGAAAACATGAAGTGCATAGAACTAATAAGAGTATGAAAGATTTTTTTACAAAGAAATACCATAACTTTGAATGAGGAGATGGGAGAATTAGAATGATCACCTGGCCAAATCCATGCAAGTGTCAGTCAGACTGGTTGAAGAATTGAAATATTCTCTGCTAGCAGCCAAAACTAATTCAATGCTTTTCTCATAGCTGATTCTGTATTGTATTTTTCCTTTAGAAACAGGCGGATCTATTGACCAAACATTGCAATGCATCATTTGCCCAGCTAAATGGATATTCTCCAGCAGGCTTGAACATAGAAGACTTTCAGTAAAAATCTACAAAATAAAATACAGTCAAAATCACAGAATGTTTTTATGCTCGCTAAACTCTTAAATGTATTTAAATAGACAGCACAGAACAGCTTTCAGATACATGTACATCAATATAATTATGTTTTAAGAAATCTTTTAAAAACAAAACTCAATCTAATTTTTTATATTGTGCATTATTTATTTAAAAGATTTATATGACTGCCCATTTTATATTAATAACCCTGGCAGGATTAAGAGCAGCAACAGAGAAAAATAACAAAATATAAGAAGATTAAAACCAAGGCGCCATAACACTCCTACCCCAAATATACATATACAGAACTTAATTCCCATTATAGAATTCCCATCCCCACCACCACCCAGTGCTTGAGGAAGAGACAGCAAGATTATTGTCAGAACTCCAAGACAGACCCCAAATTTGGAATCCAAGGACACACAAAATAATACTATCTTTATTATTATACCACCTTTATTATAGGATTATAGTAACAGAATTTTGCAACTAAGAATGTGTCCCTCCTGCCCTTTATCTTTCTTTTCATATATAAATATATAACAGAAAGAAAATATAAAATTAAATCTATCCATCCATCCATCTAACATCTATCTATCTATCTATCTATCTATCTATCTATCTATCTATCTATCTATCTATCTATCTATCTATCTATCTATCTATCTATCNTAATTACCCAAGAAGTAATGACGTCTCTTAGGTCATCTAATATCTCCACATTAACTTTAAAAAAGAATGGATGTGGTAAACTGAAACTTTTCTTCTTGTACTATTTATGACTTATAATTTCTATTTATTTCACATTGGAGAACATGCAGATTTTTTTTCACATCTCCCAGCTCCAGCATAGTCCCAAAACTTGGAAGACTAAACCTCTGATCCCAGTGACTGACTCAGAGTGAATCCTGTAACATTTTCCTGGGACATGTATCATTCATGATGATGCAAAGTTTGGCTTTCAAGTGTTCATGAATAACAATTGAAACGATTGGATAGTTTTCATAAATGCTATATTAAAACTATCCAATCGTTTCAATTGATAGCAGTGATAGAATCTATCTAGATACAGTACATCTTCATTGAACATAGACAAAGGACCAATGGAAGAACCTTTTGCCTTGAGTTTTCCCAATCCAATTCCAGGGATGGCCACTCAGAATCTTATCTGAGATAAGGCTCCCCGAACCCCAAGGCTAAAGGCTGCAAATAAAAGATTAGAAGATACAACAGTGTAGCTGTAGGTTAGGGAAAATTCTGACAACTCTCAGAGACTTTGCAGAATAGAATTCTTGTAATTGTGATTACCTAGCATTGTAAGTAAGTATTGTTGGAGACTAAAGGAATTTGAGGGATTTGAGAACATGCTCAAAGCATTCTTTTACCTTTATGAGTAGAGCTATGCCAGCTAGACGTATCTGGACGGTGTGACCACTATTTGCATTGATTATTCTACAAGCTTCTTTTTGGCCTCTGTTAGCTGTTATGAACTATCCATATATGATCTACGACTGAATTGGTTTATGTTTTATGATTCACCTTCCAACAAGGGTAAATGTACTGATTAATAGCATGTCAAATTTAGTACTTCTTGGGGAATTCTAAGAATTGCAGTCCCAATATATCTGGAAGGCTCCAGATAGAAAAAGACATGGAATGAAGAATGCATGCAAAAGAAAGTATGTCAAATATTTAAACTATAGAAGATAATTATTTTAAGTATGCAACCCTTAAGATATACAAATCTAAGTGTATTCAACCTAGGCCATGTCCCCACTTGCACTGAGTGTAATATAAAGATGCTCTGCGTAGCCCCTCTATTGCTCACATTTTGTCCCAAGCCCATGAGTNCTCTTTCCATATTTTTTTATTCCACTGCAATTTATTTTTGAAGTGTTTTGGCATCTAGCATACCATTCAAAGGTCAAGTCTTCCAAGTTGCTAAAAGTTTGGGAAATCTTCAAAAGCCAGGGTGATCATTTGTTTTAGAATGAAATCTGGTAATGATAGAGGCTATCACAGACAATTCAACAATGAATATAAAAATATGGAAAGAGAAAGATGCCCTAATGACATGTATTGCATTGCTGAAATAAAAATAGCTTAATTTTGGTGGAGAATATTAGGAATTCTACATAGCTCAGCTATATACCATTTTCAACCCTGACTCCATATACACATGCCAATAGTCTGAAGAAAATCATGTAATCCATATGTTTGATAAATCATATAGTTGGACAATAATTTGTTGTAGAAATATCTCAAGACCTTGGTTGACTGTCATCTACAACTTTTCTATGCTATGCACATCATTCTATTCTTCCTCTTGTACGGAAAGAAAATGACTGATATTAGTTGGGTTACGTGCTCCTGAAATTGAAACATTCATAGGTTAATTTAGAAATATCACCATCTGCTAGATAACTTAATGTAGAATTTAAAGTAATGATTTTAAAATCCTGGCCAGAGGAAAACTAAATCATTTTAACTCATAACTGGTGCCAATATTACTAATAATCATAGTTTCATTAGTAGTTAAGAGAATTGCCATAAGGAAGAAATGTATCTGGAAAGTTAATTTCAATCTTTTAATCCTAGTTAAAGAATGCCCAGAATTACATCTTCATTGTCAGATTAAGAAAAAAATAAACTCAATAAAATACATACCATAAAAGACAAGAGGTATTTCCTTCCCTGCAAATATTTCTTGTGGTTCCTACATCATAGGAATTAAAAATGGAGTATATGTCTATTTCTTTAATAGACACCACAACTGAGAAAACTTTAAAAACTTTGTTGATCAGCAATGCAAATTCTCATTCACCCCTGCTTTTTAATTAACTTTTTAATTTTCAAATACAAAGATAGTGTTGAAGATGACTGGTGAGCTTGGGCTGAGAGATATACTGATCTAATGCCGTTCTTTGGAAATCTGCAGAGAAATGAATCTCAGGGAACAAATGAAATGATAATGGGATTTTGGTTTATCAGGGTTCAATTCCGCAAAATAAATGTTCAGTTTCATGGATTGTTTGTTGAGAAAAAGGTATCTTTTTCTGTAATGAACAAAACTGATTGAAGCCTGGGCATTTGGAATGTATTTTTTAATCAAAACTTTCTAGTGAAATTATAGTGTTTGCTAATAAAAACCTAGCTGATGGTCCCAAATGCAACTGGCCAATGCAGACTCAAAACAAAGAAGGTCTCGATTCATTTTGCATTTAGTCATTTTAAAAAGAAGATATATCATTTTCTTTTCTTATGCTTGCATGTCAAACTGAACCTTCTGAAATTCTGTTTTCTTCCTAAGTATTAGTGATACGTAGTCCCTGTTCTTTTACATCTGATCTGCCAAGCTGGCCAGGTTTGTGTAACAAGATAATGGAGATCAAGTCCCTGTTTAGGTTTCCATGTTATATTAAGACACAGATTCATTGAACATTATTCATTGACTAATTGGCTCAATTCACACTTTGCTTTCAGTTAAAACCAAAGAGACCACACCTTTATTTAGTACATTTCTTGCAGCTAGCCTAGTTAAGTAATTTATGAATTTTTAGGAGCTGTGGTAATGCAGTGGTTAGAATGCAGTATTGCAGGCTGTCTACATCCAGGAATTCAATCCTGATAGGCTCAAGGCTGACTCTGCCTTCCATCCTCCCAAGGTCAGTAAAACAAGGACCCAATATCAGACCTGGAAGCCTTTTGGATTTCAGGTCTGCCACATTTTCTACTGTGGGAAAATGGGAGGGATTATACAGAGTATGGATGATATGTAGCCATAATAACTTTCCTTCTCAGAAAGTAAAGGTTGTCCACGCACCTAGACGGATGTGGATGGGAGGAATCTTCTTTCGTGGCAATGACTGATTGGATCATGTGATAGACTTGCGGGTGTTGGGGCAGGGACTTGAACTTTTGACTGGGTGGGAAAACCTGGAAGCTTTCAGATTCGGGTTTTCCCAGATGTGACAATATGGCATCTCTAATAAAATGGAACTTTGAGGGAACTCAACCCTTGGAGTCTTTTTGCATTGGGGGTATTACTTAGAACA